CTTGCTGTGACACTTCAGTATTCTTTATTTCTTTTTGCATCTTCTACTTTCACATGTGGCCTTGGCCACAAGAGACATTAGCCCTAGTCTCTGAATATGCCAAGTACTTATCCTTAGTAAGTTGTGCTTCTTCCAACAAGTTTAGAGGGTTCCCCCACTGACTTCGCTGAGGATCTTTCAAGCTTTGCTTACTGAGCCTTGGATTGGAGGCTTTAACCCACTGGTCTAAGCTGCTAGCTATGGACAGGCAAAAGACTAGCTACCTCTGTCATGTGTCTTTCATACTGGCTCACAAATAATTACGCACCTTTCTGAGCAGGTTAAAAAGCAAACATATATTCATTCAGCTGTTATTATATGTAAAGGGTGCTATGGGAGGGTCCTAAGCATGACAAGCCATGGCTCCTGCCTTCCAAGGACTTACAGCTTCTGTGGGGATAAAACATCAGCAAGTAGAAAGACTTCTCACATACACAGCCCATATTTTCAAAGATCTTTCATTCTGATCTTCTCGTAAAACTTGTCGTGAGTGCTTATCATTCCACCTTCATTCTAATGCAGAGGTTAGGAAGCTGAAAATATTACTTCTTAGACAACCTTGAAATTATATTAGCGAGGTAAAGCAGAAAAGCAAAGTTGGAAAGATATGGATGTTCGGAGGGAGTCACAGCAGCCTGACCAGGGGCCTAGGGCCCAGTCTCTGTCTCCTGGCTAAAGAGGGCACATGGTGGCCACTACTCTCGCTGCTTCCTAACAGCTGTCTATTAGCCGCGACTGAGCTCCTTATAAGTGATTGACACTACTCTGCTGCGGAAATGAGATGGACAGCAGGCTACAATTCAGACCACATTTGGACAAGGTCCCATTTCACCAAATGATTTAAAAAGCACTTAATATCTCTTTGCTCTTCAGGAAGTAAAGCCAACACCAATGCTTCTTCTTGTAGATTTCCCCTGAAGTTGAATAAAATTACTAGAAAACGCACACACTTCTTCATAGAGGGGGATGGAAATCCTAGACCACTTCAGAGTGACTCCATCTACCCCAACCACTTTGGAACAGGGGACAAATTCCTGAATGCACTGAGGACGCCGCTGTTGAATAGCATCTATTTTCTTCGTTTCATGTGGTTTCTATTTATTTACAGACTGCTATGGTTATTCATGATACTTTACAAACCATAAAAGCCAGGTCTCCACCCTATAGACTTTACAGTGTAATTTAAACAGACATGCTGCATGGGCTGACAGGTCAGGCATGCCAGGAGATGGTGTTGGTGTTGTATAACATGGGTGTGGAGGGTTTCTTCTTGAGTTATAAATACTTTCCAGTTACAAGGGCCTTTCATCTGGGATCCCCAAGCACTTTAGAATCACAATAACCTCAATTGCTTTCTAAATGCACTTTCCATAAACTGTTACAGGGCCTGAGTAAATGCTTTTAAATGTCTATTAATTGATCTGTGGATCTGTTCATTGTCCATATTAAACAGCAGGATGTAAACATGGGGCTTGGGACAGGCCTTGTTTGGGCTATGGTCTGACCACTCATAGATTACAACCCCAGAGAGATCTGGTAGCCTTGCGCCTTCATCAGAAGGGCCACATGGTCATGTAGGTATACTCACGGACAACATGCTCACTCAACCTTGACTCATAAAGACCACTTTCTAGGTCCTTGATTCACCTTTAATGGGCACATTAGTGTTTCAAAATCAGTTGAGCTCAGAGAAAGAATTTCTTGAAGAAAGCATTTCCATCAGAGAAACTTGGTAGTCGTCTCTCTGCTAACAGTAGTGGTTCCCATTCTGTTCCTTCACAATTGCTCCATCCTGATGCTACATCATTCTTTGTCTGGAGGGTGGCATTTCCCAAACAGTAAGATTTCTATTTCATTGCAGCTGCTATGGAGTTTTCTCTTCCATGTCTCATCCAATGACCATGTAGCAAGTGATTATTCCTGAACTTTTTGAAGAGTTCATTCAAACCAAAGAGAGGAGGAGCTTTGAGATAAGCAGTGCTTTTTAGATTTGGGGTTTTTAATGTCCCCTCAAAAGCTCATATATTGAAGGTTTGCCCTCAGTGCAGTTGTGCTCAGGGTATGAGTCCTTCGGTAAGTAACTGGACCATGAGGGCTGCCACCTCATGAGATGATCAATCTGTGTATGGATTCATAACTCAATGGGCTTGGGGGAAGACCTTTGTTATAACAGCAAGCCTTCTCTCTGTTCTTCTTGGATGCCACCAGGTAAACAGCTGCCATGTGCTAAATGATGGGGCTAGGTGACCAGGGACTGAAACCTCTGAAACCGTGAGTTGCAGTAAATCTTTCCTCCTTAGGTCCCTCAGCAACAGAAAACTAACACATCCCTCCGTCTGTGCATCCTTTATAAGCTCCTCAGAGTTAATTCTCTACAAACCCAGATGGAATCATATCACCTCCCTGCTTTGAAAAACCTACCTGAAGGATGAAACCCAGGCTACCTGTGGCCCCTTAGGCCTCTGCCAGCTGATCTGCTGCTCTAGCGTCATCAGTCCACGCAACCTGGAGCTTTGGCCACACCAGAGAGAGCACTCCTTCCCAGAGACCTCGAAATTCGTCTTCATACGTGATGTTCCATCATCCCTTCACCCTCATGCTCCCATCTTCCCAGCAATCTATCATCCTTTCACACCACCTCGAACATCCTTCATCACTGCAGACCTCCAAGATGCACGCCACCATGTGCCCGTCCTCTACCATCTGTACACATTCCCCTCTTTTCCTTGGGCGCCTACATCTCTCCACCTCCATGATCACAGCTGTCTTTTTAACTTTCAGGGACTAGGACCCCTTGAGTACAGAGATGTCTCACAGAGTAATCACAGGATATTTTTGTTTTCAGTACTGGCAGTTGAACCCAGGGCTTGGCATTGAGCTAGATCTCCCACCCTTTTTATTTTTTATTTTGAGACAGAGTCTTGCTAAGCCATCAGGTTGTCCAAGCTGGACTCAAACTTGCAATCCTTCTGCTCCTTCCAGAGTGCGGGGGTTACAGGCATGTGCCACAGTTTCCAGCTTCACAACATGTCTGTGAAGGTCTCTTTTTGCACTTTGAAGGGCTGATGAAAAGGAAGGGAGGGAATGACCTGATAAACCGATTATAATTCTGTTTGCAGGACTTTGTGCCACCTTTGTGAGCAGATTACCATACACTATTAACCATTTTTTTGTGATAAAATATGAATACCATAAATTTACCACATTAACCATTTTTAAGTTTATAGTTCGTTGGCATTAAATACATTCACCTGCATGTTGTGAATTTCTCTCCAGAAGATTTTTACCTTCCAACTGTAGCTTTGCACCCATTAAACACTGACTGTCCCTTTTGTTTTCCCCATATCCCAGCCACAACAATTCTACCTTTTTTTTTCTATTCTACTTTCTTTGTTGTTTTTTTTTTTTTTTGTACCGGGAATCGAACTCAGGACCTTGCACTTGCCAGGCAGGCACTGTGCCAATGAGCTATAGCCTGGCCTCTATTCCACCTTCTGTCTCCGTGAACTTGACTACTGTGGGTCCCTCTGATAAGTGAAATCATACAATATATGTCCATCTGTGACCAGTTTATTTCACATAGCACAGTGTGTTCAAGCTGCATCTATGTTGTGACATGTGTCTCAATTTCTCTCCCTTTTAACTCTGAGTGATGACCCATTGTAGGTATGTGCCACATTTCGTTTGCCCATCCGTTCATCAGTGAGCACTTGGTTTGCTGCCACACTTTGACTTTCATGAATAATGCTATTCTGAACATGGATTGTACACATGTCTGAGACTGTGCTCTTGCTGTTTTTTGACATACACTCAGAAGTGGTGGTTTTAGATCATGTTAATTAATTTTGGGGGAGGGGACTGCTACTCCATTTTCTACAGAGGTGCCCCATTTAGCATTCCTACCAACTGTGTACAGGAGTTCTAATTTTCCATATCCTCACCAACACTTGTTAGTTTTTGTTTCAGATTTTTTTTAATAGCCACTCTAGGAGTATAAGTGTTGTGTCTTTATGGTATAGCCTCTGCCTTCACTGTCTCGTTGCCCCGAGGTAAAGCCAAACTCACTTCACAGCATGTCCTCTAATTCCTCCTCAAGGATGTGCACTGCCTGTGGGGAGGCTGGGCCAGGGAGACAGGAAAGTTGAGTGGGGTTGTAGCCTGTTGTGTTTCTGGGCTTAGTCCAGCAGGGGGCACTCCCACAAGCTCACAGACAGCAGGGCAGCCTGTTTTTCCACAGCAGGGACCTAGATCAGGGGTCTTTTTGTTCCCTGCCCCTCCTTTCTCAGGCTCCTCACAATATTAGCACCAGTGGGAATCAAGCAGCGCAGGCCAGGGCAGTATTTCTCAAAGGCAGTGCCACTGGCATTCCGGTGGGATAATTCGTTAGATAGGACAGTTTCCCACCCTGCAGAGCACTTTGCATCCCAGGCCAGCAGGGCTTGTGACAGCCAAAATGCCGCCGCTCACATTTCCGACGGAGCCACTGCTGGTGATGGAGCTACACAGTTGAGAACTAGGCACGCAGTGGAAACTGAGCCCCCAGGGTCTCCGGCTCACTCTGCAAAGCGGTCACTGCCAGAAGGAGACCCTGTGTGCTGTTCAGAGGATAGGGGCACAGCCAAGGAAAGCGTCACAGGTGGCTGCAGGTGACCTAGATGACTCCCCGAGTTGGTTAATTGTTCCTTGCCAGTGACAGACGCACATGTCAGGAAAAAGAGGGAGACACTCACTAAAAACAAGATGAATGTATCACAGAAAGAATATAGCCACCCCTATAAGAGGTCGCACCCCAGGACTTGAGATCTCAGCCTGCAGTGTCCAGCAGACTCCCACACGCACACCTCTGCCCAGCCCTGAACGGCCCTGTTGCTCTGGGAAGTCTGCGCTATGCTTGCTGGGGCAAGGGACTTCATTCCCCTGTGCTGCCGTAGCAACCCGGAAACAACCTGGACTCCCAGTGAGGAGGACCGGGCTGTGGCCCAGAGCTGTAGCAGCTCAGCGGGTGGCACGGTAACAGAGCAACCAGGACCGAGGGACAACAAGGGCTCCAGCAGAGGCTGAGGGAGGCTGCCCAGAGCATAGCCGGTCAGGGGCTTGAGGAGTCTGGCCGTGCAGCTTGTTTTCCTCTCCACAAAGATGTATACTGTCCAAACTGTGTGGCCGGTTATTCCTAAGCAGCTGCTGTAAGAGGGGGAAATGTATTTAATAAAGGGCCCAGTGTTTGTGGTGTTCTTGGGCTTCTGTGGAGCTTCAGAAATTCTGAGGTGTAACCAGCTTTTAGCCTTCAAAACTAAGATGAACTGCCCTTGAGAAGGGGTGGTCAGAAGGGAAACAATGTTCACCCTCTCTCTCCTGAGCCGGGGCCACGGGAAGTTGGTCCAGAACAAACAGAAGTTGGAGGTCTATTTTGAACCAGAGGTGAGTGTTGCAACTCAAAACAGGCGCATTTTCAGGGTGGGGAGGAGTGCTCTATCTTTTCACTGGGAGGTGAACCAGGTGTGTCTGGTGGGCCGTTTTGTGGGATGGTGGGGGTCTTCTCTCCTCCTTCAAGATAATAACGGAGTTCTCCTGACAGCCCAGGACTGCCGTGGCATCCCTCTTCCTTCTTTTGCACCCACACTTCCAGCCCCCTTTGCTTCAGACTGAAAGAGAATCCAGATGGTCTGGAATTTAGATGATTTGTTTCACAACCAGAATTCCCACCTGGGTCCTAGGCAAGCCAACAGTTGTTTGCATTTTAGAAGTCCTGCTCCGTGGTGAAATACTGTGTGTGTTCTTGCTATTTCAATGGCTTCCTTGAACTCTCTGGAATTCAACCCAGGGGATTCATATTTAATATAGACCAAAAAAATTTCACTTTGGATTTTAAAGAGGTGGCAAAATTCCCTTATTGTACTGGAATTTTATTTCTTGAATCCTGCCAGGAATAAGAAATCCATTGAGGGTACTTTCATATTTTTGGGTCATACAGAGATTTCCATTGTTCTGATATTTGACCTCTGCTGTGTTAAAAGACATATAAAATTTCAAAGGGCCTCTATGGCCAATGGCATTTACTTACAAGATATCTAACTACTTTATAGGCTCCTAAATAGCCAAATTAGGTCATGTTACACAGCATCTGGAATGTATAGAATTCTCCCTGTGTGCAGCTGAAGTGCTAGTGGGTTGGAATGGTTTTCTCCTATTTAAACTGCCAACTAGTCCAGATCCGATTTCAAAGTTATCTGCTGCCCTTGACAATTCTGACTACTTACTTGCATACCCGGACCCTTTAACTGGCCTGTAACCTACACTCTACCCTACGTAAGCCTCCAGACGTAAATGGTTCTCCTGAAAGTTGTGTGGAATAAAAGAAAACTATGCCCTGGGTTAGACTAATTTTGAGATGTGAAGAGAAAATCCAGTTGCTAAGAAGAATAATTGCATTTCATAATTTCACATCAACACTTCAAAGCAAAATTAGTAGCAAAAAAAGGTTCCAAGCACTGCCTGAGAAGTATGTGCTATGGCAAGGTCTTCCACAATGCCTTTGTCAAGGTTGTTTCCTTTTGTTGCAGGATTACTTGAACTGGAAGTCCCCAGAGGACTATGTCCTGGTCAGCAGACCTCAGGAAGAAGACAGTGCCGACCAGCACTGCTGGAACCTTTTTCTTCCCAAGACTTTCAGCACCAGAAAGGGCGCTCTGATCCTTTACTCAGAAGGCCTGGCCATCCCAGCATGGACTCCCAGAGAGAGGAGAAAGGACCCTTCCCGCCCCGTGGGTCACAAGAAGAGACTGGGTCTTGAGCTACACACACTTCAAGACCTCAAAGAAGCCATCCTGGCTTACGGAAGAAAGCAGGTAGGCAGAGCAATATCTCAGTTCGCGGAAGGTCCCAGCCTGTGTGTCCATACATCCAGTTGCAGCCTTGAGTATAATTTCTTGGACCCTAAGGAAATTATGAACCCCTCAGACCTCCAGTTGTTCATCTCTACCATGGGAATGTGCTCAGCCCCCTCTGCCACGTATGATTGCCATGAGGCTTAAGTGAGATAATATATGTGAAAGGGCCCTGAAAGTTAAAAGGTCTTCTATCATCATTTTGTGTTTTCTTGTAATTATAGTAACACAAAGTCTTTTTCAGCATCCAGACAGACATTTCATCAGAATCCTTGAAATCCTGTCTCCATGCCACAAGCATCATCATCCCACCTCTGATGTTTTTGGCTTTGCAGAAAGCAGGAGAACATTTTAAATATTTGTCTTAAGTCCTGAGGTGCTTGCAGGACGAGTTAATGACTTTTTCCACTCTATATTTAATATTAAGGGAAAATCGTTGTGCATTTTCTGATTCATACTTTCTAATTCTTATAAAATGCACCCAGGGCCCCTGTTACATATAACTGCAGTCATTAGCCCTTTGACTGAGGCCATTAGACAGTCTGGGAAGATGTGTCACTTTATCAAGTTCTAGATTAAAGATGGCAGATTGCTCCCTAGTTTAAAAGTCTAAGCTGATTAATAAAACCATTAGCCTCTGACACTGGGCCCTTCACTTCCGGGCTTTCTCTTCCTCGTCTAGCCACACCTCACACTTCTTCTCACTACCATTTCACCCGTGGACCCTTAAAACACATCTGCCATGTGACAACCCCCCCAGGCCTTCTGATGACTCTAAACTCTTACCTATATTTCTACAGCTGGCTGACTCCCGCCCATCCTTCCAAACAGAGCTCCAACAGCATCTCCTCACTCAAGCCTTCTCCCAGTTCCCTGGTGAAGCCATCCCTCACCTCCCTCCTCTGCAAACATTCCCGTACCAGCATGCATTGAGACTTATCTCTGGCTATCTGACATCCCTCACGGAATAACGTCTCCTCCCAGGCATGGACAATGTCTAAATGATTTCCAGAAATGGTGGGAAATGGATGAATCCATTTTGTGTTCTGAGATTATCTCCATTATTATTATTGGGCAATTTATCACCTATCCCCACTCTAGGCGGAGCTTCCAAAAGGAAAGACTCCTTTGTCCCCTTTCCCTTCTTTCAAAATGGAGAGGCTTCATGACCTTGATCGGATAAATGCCCAAGTGTACATGTCTTGTAACAATAAATTCTTGGAGAGGAAGCCAATTGTTGAGAGAGAGGAAACCAATTGCTGTCAAATGCTAACTGTAATTTTTATATCTATCATTTAATCCTCACAGTGACCCTGTGACTATGGTCTTCTTTTTTTGTGTGTCTTTTTGAGACAAGATCTTGCTGTGCAGTTCAGGCTGGCCTTGAGCTTACTTGGTAGCCCAGGTTGGTCTCAAACTTGTAACAATCCTCCTGCCTCAGCCTCCTGAGTGCTGGGATTACAGGCATGCATCACAATGCCTGGCAACTATGGTCTTCTTGACTCCTTTTGTAGATGAGGAAACTGAAGATCAAAGGGGTTATGTGACTCACCCAAGGCCAGGGATCCAGTCAATGACAGAGCCAGGACTCAACCCTGAGAATGCCGACCTCTTTGGGGCACACAAGGCTTGCACTGTGCCCTGCTATCTATGGGCCTGACGGGGCTCCAGAGAGCACTGTGCCTGGCCTTGGCCTGTTCACCTTGAGATCCTGTCTATATCCTCTGCTCTCGGTGTCACATGGGAGTCAGCCACAGTTATACACAGTGCCGCAAACCTTTGTCAATAGGCTCCTGACTGAATTTGTCAATGTTACTGACCTCAGCATTGCCTCAGTATCTGGCTTCTGAGCTCACCAATTACTTGTGTAACCAGTCCCCTAGGGTAAATTCCTTTTGTGTTTGAATATGTAGAGTAGTTTCTGTTTTCCCGGTTAAGCACTGATTGTTACACAGAGTAACTTACTGCCCAGCCTAAGAATACCTTCTAAGCTTCTAGATGCATATACATATGGCTTCATTCTTTGGGCGAAAGGAATCTTACTAATTATAAAGTAGGTGAGTCCATTCGAGGACAGCTTCATTTTTAGTTAGATATAGGTTCAATGAGGAAGGAAAAAAACCAAGTTCCTGTCTTCTGGAATTCGTTATTAGACTCACAGCTCACACCTGTGTAACACGGAATACCCTTGTCTAACTCCAAGTGGGTAGAAGGAAAATGGTGTGAAGAAATCCAAACAGGTTCAGAATAGTAATAAGACAGGAATTTTAGCCTACAAAACAATAGATTAAAAGTGAAAGGGAAGCAACTCAAAAGGACTTGGGACTAAAGGAAACAAACACTTCGGCAGAGCAGAGCTTTGGAGAGCAGAAAGTACCATGTGATTAGTAAGACTGCAGATCTCAAGAAACTCAAAATCCTGACAGCCAGGGCTTTAGGGTTATGGGGAAATAGCCATCTGTGCTGTAGGAGCCCAAAGTCACATGACATTTCTGGAAGGTTTTTCTTTGTTTTGTTTTGTTTTCCATCTTTTTGACACAGCGTCTCACTATGCAGTTCAGGCTGGCCTTGAGCTCACTTTGTAGCCCAGGCCGGTCTCAAACTTGCAACGATCCTCCTGCCTCAGCCTCCCGAGTGCTGGGATTATAGGCCTGCACCATCATGCCTGGCTCTGGGAGGTATTTTGGAAGAAAACCTAAACAGTGTTGATACCTTTTGATTCAGCATTCTATTTTTAGAACTTGCCCTAGTAAATAAGCAGAGATATGCCCAAATACTGCATAAAATGTTAACTACAGTAGTATTTATGACTATGAAAAACACTGGAAACAATGCATGTTCCACAATGGTGTAGTGATTAAATAAATTATGGTACTATCATGTAATATTTGGGTCAAGTAAGAAGTCATGTAGTTGTCATAAATAACATGAGCAATATTCACAATATCTTTTTTTTTTTCTTAGAATTCATGTAATTTAACTGATTGAAATAATTTTTATTTTCTACTTTTCCTAATTTAAACATAATATGTAAAGAAAATGTGATTGGTATAATGATATATAGAATAATTAATATAAAAGTATGATTACCAATGCTATTCACATAGATTTCTGAGTTGTTAATATCTTCTTCCATACTTACCTCAGCTGTTTCTTTCTTTTAAAGAGAAAAAAAAAACCAATAAAACAGTTTCAAAACAAGTTAGTAAGAGAGATACAATAATTAATACATTGTGTATTATTGTCTTCATAGTAGTTATTCAGATTATAAGATAGGAAGAAAGGGAAAAAGGAAAAAATATATTTATACACAAGATAGTTAAGATAGTTATATAGCTAGTTTCTCTTAGTTCATTGAAAAGAAATGTTTGTGCTAATATTATTTGCACAATAACTTTTTTTTTTTTTTTTTTTTTTTTGGTTTTCTCCGGTACCGGGAACCGAACTCACTACCTTGCGCTTGCCAGGCAGGCACTTTGCCGCTGAGCTAAATCCCCAGCCCTGCACAATAACTGTTTAAAAGGCAGGTTGGGGCTGGGGATTTAGCTCAGCGGCAAAAGTGCCTGCCTGGCAAGCGCAAGGTCGTGAGTTCGGTTCCCGGTACCGGAGAAAAACCAAAAAAAAAAAAAAAAAAAAAAGGCAGGTTACTGGGTATGGTGGCACACAGTGGCACATGATCCCAGCACTTGGGAGGCTGAGGCAGGAGAATCTCTATGAGTTCAAAGCCAGCCTGAACTACACAGTGAGACCCTGTCTCAAAAACAAACACATATAAATAAATAAATGGCAGGTTGCAAAATAGTATTTATATACAGGTAATAAAAACACCAATGTTCATTAACAGTTTCTGAGTATTTACTATGTTCCTGACACTGTTCTAAGTATTTTCCAAGTATAACTCACTTATGCTCTCAGACAATCATGTTGTAGATAATAAGCCCATTACAACATTTCAAAGATGAGAAAACTAAAGCACAGAGAGTTTGAATAATTCTCTCAAGACTATATAGCCAAGCAAATCAATGCACCAGAATTCCAGACCAGGCACTGTAAAATACATTGCTTCACTAACATAATCCAAAATTTTAAAAATTAATTATAAATTCTTAGAAAGAGACACAGCAAAGTTTTACTTGGGCTAAACCATCAGTGGTAGGATTATAAATCTTAAGTTTATTTACATATTTCTTTTAAACAGACATTATTTCCTAAAGCCCTGGAATTTTTAAGATGAAATAAAAATCTATAGCTTTGAAGGAAGCAGTCAGTCAGTCAGCCCCAGAGGCCCAGGTAGGAGGGTGAGAAGGGAAAGGAAGTAGCTAGTTGTGCTGAGGTCTAAGGGCGTTGGCGGGGGGAGTACAGCACTCACCTGGTAAGTATTTCTTAATTTTGTGTGTGTGTGTGCTCTAAACCAAGCCCACCAATAACCATACTTTTCCTCCGGGTCAGTATTTCTTTGTCCAAATAGAAGAGATCAAGTTAAAAACACTACTCAAAGTAAAAGCCAAAATGGAGAAAGAAACCAGGGTAGAGGAGGGTTCCTCACACAGTATATAGTGCTCTTTCCAGAAGGTTCTGTTATGGCTGACTGAGAATCAGGAAACCACATAACTCAGGCCTCACTCAGATCTGGGAGAATGGAAGCTGTCACAGCCAGGTGTGATTCAGTTTTAAAGCCTCTTGCCACATCCCCAGTGCTGTGGGTCTCTGGCATACGTGTGGTACCTTCTCTGCAGTTTATAGCTCAGTACACACTCTTTAACTTTCTTGCCAGCCCAGTTTCCATGTTAAGAGACTAGAAATCAAAATTCTCAGACCTTAGAAACATGCAGACATGTTCCTTGGTTGTTTTGGTTTTGGTTTTTAGTAGAAGGAAATCTTTTTCAACACTTTCAAAGCTAAAATCACTCTTCTTTAGACCGATCATCTATTTATGGTCTCCTATTTAAAAGTCAAATAGC